TGCATTGTTTTGCATCTTGTTTTGCTCCTTTTTGCACCTGTAGGATGTTTACTTAACACTGAGATACCAGGCGAGTACTGCCAGTTCTTAAAGAGACACAGAAGATTTGTAGCTATTTGGGTCAATGGAAGGAAGTGTTCTGGGAGGCTTACCCCCTAAGGTCTCCCTGACCTTTAAAGTATTTAGTAGGTAGTTAATAATCTACTTTTGAAGGAGGTAATGCATGTTTATCCCTTCTGTTTTGCATGTACCCTGGATATATATAAGGATGTTGGAAAATAAACTCGGCGCTTCAGTATTTACTGGAGTCCTCCCGGTAACTCTCTCTCTCCTCTGTCTCTTTTCTTAATCCTAACGCCCCCCCTCAGGACTGTTCGAGATATCGGCTGGCTCCGATATCGGCTGAAGTACATCCCTTCCCCAAATTCATGTGTTGAAGCCCTAAACACCAGAACCTCAGGATGTGATTGATTTGAACATGGATTAAAGAGGTGTTTAAGTTAAAATGGGCCCATTAGTGTGGACCCTAATCAAATCGGACTGGTGTCCCTATAAGAAGAGATTAGGACACAGAGAGACACCAGAGGGTCCCACACACAGAGGAAACACCAAGTGAGAACTCAGTGAGAATGCAGCCATCTGCAAGCCGAGGAGAGAGGCCTTAGGGAAACCAACCCCGATGACACGTTGTTCATGAACTTCCAGGTTCCAGAACTGTGAGAACATACATTTCTGTTGTGTAAGCCCCCAGGTCTGTGGTATTTTGCGATGGCACCACAAGCTCACTAATACAAGTTCTCGATGAGTTCAACCTCCACAGACAGCAATATCTATCAAAAAGGGTATGTGATGTCCTTACTCAGCAATTCCAATGGAGGGGTGTCCCTTAGCTGCACTCAGCAGTGACTCACCGGGGCACTCACAGTAATAGTCACTGATTGCTGATCCAGTAGCAGGAACTAAGTGACCACATCATGCTCTGTGGGTGCTGTGGCTGCTGTGCACGGTAATAAAGGATGGCCATGCTCTCTGTGCCAGGCCCTCAGGGGACACGATGTGCTCATACCCACAAAGTGCTTAGAGTAGGACCTGGCCCATCAGAAGCATGCTATATGACTGTCAACATAAGAAACATCCAAACCTGTAGAGAATTTTTATGAGCTTATTTGACCCAAACTGACGACAACTGCCAGGAAGCAAAAGCTCAATGAATTGACAAAACGCTCCCGAGAAAAGTAGATTTACAGCTTATTTCATACATTGGAATCAAAGAAGGAGATGTGAGGAGGGTTACATGAAATCTATTGGTGATAGATTAAGTGGGTGGGAGTAAGCAAAGCGGGAAAATCTCTGGGATGGATACAAAGTAAAACCGAGAGACCCATACTCCTTTCACGTTGGTGGATACACGATAGTTAATGATTAACATTTACAGCACAGAGATGGTATTTGGGGATCAAGATAACAACGAGGGGTTCTGTGGTCTCCTGCTCTAGTGCAGTGGGTGTGCCCTGAGGGGTCTGGAAAAGTTTTATGACATTTCAAAGTTATGTTATCATGGATGCAAAAAGATAAACAGATAGGCTCACTTTAGGTAAAGATTGACCTTTGTCAAGGAAGCTGCAGTCCGAGGATATGGCTGTCCGCCATGACCCGCTTTTAGTTAGGAATCTTTATGTTCAGCTCATCCTATATGGTACTTTCAGTCTCTGAGTTTGTAAGGCCTGCCATGCAGTCCCCTGAGCTTGTCAGGTTTAGTATGTGGCCCCTTTTTTGTCCACATGACAGCTGCCCCCACTCTTCAAAACACAATGTTTTCTAATGAATGGCCTCATATCCAAATGCTTCCCCAAAACTAGTGTCTCATTGACACCAGCATTACCCCCTTCCGCCCCCACCCCCCGGATCATGTCAACATCTTGGCAGATCAATATTACACTGATGTTTTTCAATTCAAATACATTTTCAAATCTTTCAAAAGATACCAGATTTCACAAGATAATCGGAATGGTGGTGTGATGTACACAGCTTCACAGGAGGTCACAGCCAGGCCTGGGAACCCGATGAGAGGCCAGTATGACAATGACATCACTGGGTGGAACCCTCAGGGCAGGATTCATCAAACTGAATACGTAGTAGAAGCTGTCAAACAAGGTTCAGCCACAGGTGGTCTGAAATCAAAACCCCATGATGTGTTGGTTACATTGAAAAGAGCCCAGTAGAAAAGAACTCTATGTGGACAACCATATTGAGATCTCAGTTGTGGGACTTATGCTGATGCTAGACTGCTGTGTGATTTTATGCATCTGGAGTGTTTGTCTGGATTTCAGATTTGTACTTGACAGACCTCTCCCTGTGTCTCATCTTATAGCTCTTATTAGACAGAGGACACAGACACCAATGCGACCATGTAGTTGGAGGCCACAGGGTGTCAGACTGCTTATTGCTTTCCCAGTGAAATGGACCCTCACATTTTCCAAAGTTGTGCATCTGCTTACTATTTTGACTTCAGCGCTATGTCCATTGGAACCGGTTCTCAGTCAGCTTGTACTTTGGGAAAGACAGGATGTCTGAGTTTACGGAGTACGTTTTGAATGAATTGGTTAAGCACGGTGTGCATGCCTTACAAGAGATACCTCCTGCAGAACAGAGCCTAAGCACATGGAATTTTTCATTGGACTTGTTGGTAAAGACTTGGAGTTTTTCATGAATGATGATGCTGAGTCTCCATTCCTGGAAGCTCTTGAAGAAACACCACAGAGAAAGGCATACCCAGCTTGCTCAACCTGCAGAAAAGGCTGACAAACCAATGGAACGTTAAGTGATAAACCAGTCTGCATGTGTATCACCAAATATGCAAGAATGCAGCAACACATACTGATGACAATTATCTACACTTTGAACCAAACGATGCAATGATGGGAGGGGATGTTTTAGGCATCAGGTCAAATGTGAGTGTTTTCCAAGCAACATCCCTGAAACCATAGAATGGGGTTCATTTTTCTTCAAGAGGGTTTATATAATCATTTTCTAGAAAGTATAGGTGTGATATTGTGATGTATAAGAAATAACCGGGGGTGCCAAAAAATGTACATATTTTAAGAGGTGTTATCTATGTATGTACATATTTTAAGAGGTGTTATCTATGTAGTATTACTTCTTGACATTAAATTGAATTAAGGTAGCAATGTGTAGTATGACGCTTGCTCAAAAGATGGCGTTAATCAAATGAGTGCTAGCAGCATTCACTGTACTACAATTTTAATACAGTTTTTTCTTTTCTTAAAGTGGGTATACATTTTTTTTGGCAACCTCTGTATATTTGGTCATTCAGATGATCAAAATTTACTTCTCACGTATAGTTGGTCTTCTACCACAGTTCCTGGCTCACAGCTCCAAAAACCCTTGTCATTTCCCAAGTGAGGAGAAGGAGAAGGGTGTCTTCTGTTACGTTAATGAAGTGACTTTTAGAAAGCACCTACTGCTGGAACTGCTTGCCAATCACTGGAGCCAACCAAGTGATTAGAGGGTTGGAAGTATCAGCCCCACCCCAACCTCCATGGAATGGGAGAAAGGCTGGAGGTTGAATCAGTCACCAATGGCCACTGATTTACTCAATCATGCCTATGCAATGAAGACTCCATAAAATCCAAAAGGACAGGTTCAGAGAGCTTCTGGGTTGTTGAACACGTGGGCATTTGGAGGGGGTGGCTTGACTAGAGAGGGCATCATACCTCTGCACCTACTTCCCACATACCTTGCCCTGTGCACCTCTTCCATCTGGCTGTTCCTGAGGTATAGCCTTTACAATAAACTGGTGATCTATGATGAGGCAAGAAAGGGCTAATAAAAGTGAGCCTGGAGGGGAACTGTCCAGGCCTGCATTCCCTCCCCAGGAACAGCCCAGGCTCATCCCAAGAAATAAATCAAAGATGTCCAAACACTCCTACAAAGAGGAGACAAGACCAACTGGTATTAACTGGTTCTGCACACCTGCACTAACTGTTAAACCTGTCTGATTCTTGAACTCCAGCCTCATTATAATACAATTAAAGTAAAATGAACATTAAGGCTTGCTCCCAGCCAACCCCTAAGGGTTTTTCTGTATGCATTCTGGGTAAGAGCATGTGCAGAAAGAAACTAGTGATATAACCAACCTATGACAATCAAATGACCTCAGTCTATACTTCACAACATCTGCTGTAAGGAAATTTACCTACCCTTTCCTATATGAGCAAACGCTAACCTGATGTTAAGTGCAGTTGTCTGCCCTGGCAACTTCTGTCCAGGCAACTTTCTTTTTGAATAAACTTTAACTTTTTGAGGCTGTGAATTCCTTCACCTCTGCAAACGACCAGAGGTTAATTCCAATGGCACAAAAATCTATGGAGTAAAATGCTTCTCTGAGTTCTGTGAGCTGCCCCAGTAAATTAATCAAACCCAAGGAGGGGGCTGTGGGAACCTCCAATTTATAGCCAGTCAGTCAGAGGTAAAAGTGAAAGCCTGGGCTTGCAACTGGAGTCTGAATGAGAGGGACAGTCTTGTAGGATGGAACCCTAAAACTGTGGATGTGATGCTGATCTCTGAGTAGATAGTGTCAGAATTGAGTTGATTCCCAAACACCAGCAGGGTGCAATTGTTTTGTGTTGTGTGGGAAACCTACCCCCCTTTCACACACACACACACACACACACACACACACACACTGGAATTGGTGCTCAGAACCAATTTAATAGGTACCTGTCTTAATATTTTCATAGGCAGACCACAGTGTCTTTGTGGTTTGAAAGGTAACTGTGAAACAAAATTCTATCACCTGCTGGTGAAATAAAATGATAATGGTTGTGATATTCCTGAGGCGCTGGGAGAACAGGCCAAGACACTGATATTATAGAACCTGGCAGCACAGGTTACTTTGATTAACTATGATGACGGTTACTGGGACATATTTTACTCCTTACTATAATACAACAATGTAATAAAACCAGTAATTCTTGGTTCCTTATCAAGCTGTTCAGAATCTTTATTATATTCAAAAGATCAATGACATTTGCTGATTTATAGTTGATTTGTTTTTATTCGTGTTATTTAATTTTAGGAGCTCATTATACATGATGGGTTTTAGTCTTCTATTGATCATCTCTGTTGCACCTGAGGAGAAGCACTGCCTAGGACACTGGGCGTCCGACCTGTGCAGAGCTCCTCCTGGAGTCAGAGACTGAGACCAATGGGAACAAATGAAAAGGGACAAGTAAGAAACACTAGGAATCTTTATTGCTCATCTTCTGATCCTCACGGGCCTCATCCCAGACCTCTCAGGGGATCCTGAAAAGACGATTCAGCATAATCAGATGGATTTCTGGGGAAGGCTCCCGGGAGTGTTTTGTTGGCCGCTTGTTCCACGACGTTCAAGATGGGTCCGTGCGCCTCCTGGCACAGATCAATGCCCAGGAAAGCCTCCACTCGCTCACGCCATGCGGCCAGTCGCGGCCGTTCCTCAAACAAGTGATAGCCAACAGCCACCAACTGCAGGGACAAGGATGGGAAAGTTGTGAGGATACAGAAGTCCCAATGTCAGGAGCAAGTGTCTGGTCCTTTCCCCAACCTCTATGTGAGGCCCAGGGCTCTGTGGCCAGCCTCAGGACCCAGGAGCACCAGGATGAACCCCCACCCAGGAGGCAAACAGGTCAGGGTTTCAGCACCAGGTCAGCCAGAAACAAGCTCTGTGATACTGGGCAAACTCCTAGCTTTCTCTAGGCCTCAGTGTTTCTGTCTGTCTAATGGAGGTGGCAGTAGGAGGGATGTTACCCACAAATGCTGCTGCACTGGCCAAGCCCTCACCTGCATCAGCTCCTCCAGTGCCATGAGGTCAGCCAGCGTCACCTGCTGGCTGGTGAGGAAGGCCTTGTGCCCCAGGAACTTGTCCTCCAGATACTGCAGAGCTTTGTCTACATTGGTCCTATTGCACTTCACCTTCTCCTCGGGCACCTGAACCCCAATAAGCGGTGCCAGCACCTGACAGGGGCAAAGGGTAGGCTCAGTCTGAGGCCCCTGCCTCCTCCCACGTCCCTCACAGTCAACCCAGATGGCTCTCCTCACCTGGGCCCACAGGGACACACCAAAGGTGCCATAGATGCAGTCAGCATGCCAGCCCAGGTACTCGTGGATGCGCATGCGGGCTTGCAGGTCAGATGGGTACCAGTGGTCCGCCGTCTGGTACTTGCAGCTCAGGTAAATCAGGATAGCCACGCTAGGGACAGGGGCGAGAGCAGTGGCTGTCAGGACCCTGGCTCGTGGCCTTTATCCGCAAGTGTTCTCATCCCCCAGTGGGGCCCTGGGCTCTGCATTTGCTGGCCCAGCTTCCTGGGCGCTGCCTCCCCTCTTTGTCCTGACTGTGCCTTCCTGACTCTCCTTTCTTCTCTGTCTTGGGCACTGACTCTTGCCCAGACCTTCTGCTTTGCACTTTAAGAACCTCATCTCTGTGACACCCCAGCAGTTGCCCTATGAGGTACAGACTATTGTCATCCCTTTTGCACACGAGGAACCTAAAGCTCAGAATAGTAAGGTGACTTGTCCAAGGCTGTGCCGCTCAGAAAAGGCTCCCTGGACTTCCGGACTCCACATGGGGCTGGCACCCAGTGGGGGCCCAGTCAAGCCCATTGCATGTCCAAGTGCATGGGTCAGGGACCAGCAGAAGAAGCATGTTGTCAGATCTGCCGTGGGTGCCCTCTGACAGGTCCCCCAGCCGTCATTCCTGTAGCTCCTGACCTCCTGATCTCTTCCTGCCTGGTGCTTGCCCTCACCATGAACTGTGCCCTCAGGCCCTGGCAGACTCTGGGGAGTAGCCTGAGTAATCAGGAGAGGCCCTTTCAGCTTCCTTTTGTTGAGTGTAGGGAGCCAGAGGCTTGCAGTAAGGGTTAAGCCTGAGAGCTGGCAGGCTGACAGGCTCTCAGGCCCAGGTAAGCAGTGGGGGAAGGTTGGCCACTGAGGAGAAAACAGCCAACGGGCCTTGAAAGCGAATGAGTGGAATGCCATCCTGTTAACAGTTTCTGCTTGCTGTGTTTTGCTTTAACCCTGGGAAGATTGCTTCCCCACACCTTATGGAAAGTCCTTGGGGAGGTGTTCCCTGGGAGGAGGGGGCTACTCCCTCAAGCTCCCCAAATCCCCCTACCTAAGGAAAGTTACGTCTGCTATAAAAGCTGTGTGTAAACAATAAACGGGGCCACTCTCTGCTATCAGCATCGGGTGGACCTCCTGTTCCCAGCTTTCGTCTCTAGTCTCTCTCTTTTCCAGTCTCCCACCCAATCCTCGCAGGTACCCTCTCGGTAGGCACCTGGCTGACGAGTCAGGAGTGCTCGTTTGATGTGCAGGTCACATCAGTTGAGCCTCCTTTCTGTCCAACAGAGGACAAATATCCCCTGTCCTCTCTTCTAGTGCCCTTGAGTCTGGGGGTGGAGAGGCCCTGGGGCCCAGAAGCAGAGGCTGAAGACAAGAAAGGTGCAGAGATGTGCTATGTCAAACCCTGGTCATTCAGGCTGCCTGCTCTCACCACACCCTTCACCTTAGCCCTCAGTGCCGGGAGGGTCTGGGAGGGCCCACAGTGGGGGAGCCTGAGGCTGTGAGAGGTGGGAGGGAAGGAGAACACCTTTCACTCAAGACAAAGTCACCGTCCTTGAGGGTGGGCACCCTCTGCAGGCTGTTAACCGGGAAGAACTCCTTGCTCAAGTGCTGCCCTGAGGAAAAAGAGGTCAGAAAAGGCCTGCAGGGCAAGGCCCACACCTGCCCTCCCCTCCCTCTCCTTCCCCAACCAGAGGCCCTTGGCCAGGCTAGGCTGAGAAACAGCGGGGTCTGGGGGGAGTACTGGGTCCTCCGCACTCCCTGTGTGGGCCTCCTCACAGGGTACGGGCTGGCATCCCTGCCTTGCCACCTCCCAGGCCTGTGGAGGAGCTTTGGTGAGTGAAAAGAAGTTATTTAGCCAACACTGGGGTGGGCAAGGGGAGAGGAGGCAAAGAGGGGTGGCTGAGCTCTTCCCACCCCTTAAGTCTCACAACAGTGTGGTGCTCTCCCCAGGGTCTCTAGGGCTTTATGAATTTAAATACGTGCTTTCAGGGCAGGAACTCTGAAAATCCAGTTTTCTCCCCACCCCACAGAGTAGAAGGTAACATTATCCTCATTTGAAGAGGGGAAAGCTAAGGTTCAGAGGGCGCCTGTGACCTGTCCAAGGCCACACAGCTGAGGGCATTCTCCAGTGGGAGCCGATATGGCCATGCGGGAGCTATGCAGGCCAGGGCATTGTGGGGAAGCTCAGGGAGTTGCCAGGAAAGGAGCCTGTGAGCGCGAGGGCCTGTGGACACCTGGAGAGCCCGCCAAGCCCACCTTTGAGCAGCTCCACGGTGCGCAGCTCGAAGGGAATGCCATTCTTCTTGGCGAAGATGTAGACTGCGCGGGATGGCTGGGAAATCAGGTCCAAGAAGAGTTCCAGTCCCATGGCGGGGTCGGCAATGACAACAGGCCCAGGCAGTAGCAGTGGCAGGAGTAGGGTGGCCTCTAGAAATAGGGGCTTGGGCCCCACCCCTCTGGGTCCCTAACCAGTGAGGGATACATCCCTCCGGACTAATGCCAAACTTGATCCTGTCACCACCTGCCCCTGTCTAACTTGTACCAACATGGTCCTCTGTGAAAAGACTGCTCAGACCTGGACCGGTGCCAGGTCTCAGGCCACGTGTGGGAGAGTTTAGAGCGAGTTGCGAATGCTGCGGCCGAGGTGAGTTGCTGTCCTACCTGCATCTCTCACCAGATCCACGTGAACAGCGGGGACGTACTCCGGAGAGGAGGAGGCCCATGCATTCCTCAGTGAAGACAAGCTGCCATGATCGGGGGTCAGGAAAATATTGTCCAGGCCAGAACCTCCTTTCTTCTCCTTTCCTTCATCTCACTCTCCCCAGGCCATCTTCCCAGGGGCCACAGTGATGATGCAGGGCTGGGCGCTCCGCAATAGCTGAATCTGTCAGAATAGCCCATTCCTCTGGCAGGTGACAGGAAGCTGACAAATCAGAATGCTTTCCTAGGATTTCTGAAATTGGAATCCAGCAGACAAAGGGTCTGTTGGGGGAGGTAAGTGCGGGCAACGAGAACTGGGGCCACCGCTGGTCACACTTCCTGAGTACATTAAGCAGGCTGTCCTGAGAGAAGCCTACTCACAGAAAAGGAGAGTTGGGGAGAGAAGCGGCTTCTACTCCCAGTTCCCCCTGGGGGCCAGATACCCCTCTCCCCATCCCCACAACTGGATGAGTTTTGGGGTGAAATTCCCCTGAGGCACTCACAGGTAACCTAGGAAATTGACCACCCCCTCCAGGGTACAACCGTGAGGTGCTTCAGTGGTTAAACAAGTTAACAAGTGACTAGGAGCTGACACCTGCAGCTGGAGAAAAACAAGAACCAGTTTCATCCAGCTAGGCTGATCCCTGTGACTGGAACCTGACCTATAGTTAATTTTAAAGTCGTTATGTCATTTGCATTGCAGTTTCTACAACTCCCATCATGCATCTGATGCCATGACAGTTCTGGAGGAACTAAATAAGAAGAAAAATCAGGAAATGGAGAGTCCCACTCAGGGGGAGGAGATGAGTGAACCACATCAATGGGGCTTCACCAATTCCCACCTTGGGAGGGATAGAAACCCCTGATCATGACTTCCTTGGCACAACTCCTTCTCTGGGTTCACTAGCACTATCTTCTCAAGCGTGTACTTTCGTTCCAATAAATTCCCTGTGCTTTCCTGCATCAGTCTTGCCCTTGAATTCTTTCTTGCACAGGGACAAGAACCCAGTCACTGCTTGCCGGGTCCGAGTGTTTCAAGCAGGGACTGTTTCGTTGGTGAGGTACCCAAACGGAAAAAAAGCCTTTCAGAGTCTTTGCCATTAATGCAGCAACACTTCTCTTCAGCAGAGGCAGAACAGTAGCAGAACTCAGTTAAACAGCAGCAGCAGCAAAGGCAGAACTCAGAACCCCATTAAGCAGAGCTGGATTATTTTGTTTTTTTTGTTTTTTGTAACACAGTAACAATAGTGTCATGCTGCCAGCACACATGTGCACTAAGAGCAACTTACATAAACAAGTTGTTTTCCTTGCAGTCCCACTTGGGCCTAGGGGAGTCAGGGCTGCAGGTCTCCAAAGCCTGTAAACATTTCCTGACCCTAAGAGGTCCTGACAGCTGGCCCCCACACCAAGGCATAGAGAAACTAGCCAGCATGACTAAGACTCAATGCTAAGATAAAAGGCAGAAATAGACCCCAACCCCCAGTGACTTCAGATATTGGAATTATAAAATCAAGAATACATAATGGGCCGGCCAAGTGGTTCAGTTGGTTAAGAGCTCGCTCAAGAGTGCGAGCTCTGAGCAACAGGGTCGCCGGTTAAATTCCCGACCCGAGCTGAGCTGCCGCCGAGCTGCCAACAGGTGGCGGGATGGCTCAGCTAAAAGAAAAAAAAAGAATACATAAGTATTCTAAAATATTTGATAAAATATGGAGTTTAAAACATGAACAAGAAATAAAAGACTATCAAAATGACATTGGAAGACTTGGAAAATAATAAAACAGAACTTCTAGTAATAAAAAACATAATAGAATACAAAAATAGCTGAAAAGAGAATTAATGAACTAGAAGATAGATCTGAAGAGGTTACCCAGAATGTAGCACACAGAGAGAAAAACTTAAATTATGAAAGTTAAGTGACATGTGCATAGACGAGGTCTAACATACGCCTAATTGAAGTTTCAAAAGGAGAGAGGTGAAGAAATCGGGAGAAGTGATACTGAAGATATGGAGGCTGAGAATTTTGAAAATTAATGAAATACATGAACCCCCATATTCAGGAGACGCAATGCATTAGATTCTTAGGTCTTCTGTAACAAAGTAAAACAAACCGTGTGGCTTTAATGACAGAAATTTATTCTCTCAAAGTTCTAGAGATTAGAAGTTTGAGATCAAGGTGTCAGCAGAGCATGTTTTTTCTGAAGGGATCTGGGGGAGAAACTGTTCCATATATTTCTCCTAACTTCTGGTATTGCTGGCAATCTTTGGCATTTCTTGGTTGTAGTTACATTACTCCAATCTCTGCTTCTCTCATCACCTGGTGTCTTCCCTGTGTGTCTTCACCTCATCCTTTTCCCCTCTTCCCCTTTTCTTATAAGGACACGAGTCATATTTATTGGGTTAGAGCCCACCCTACTCTAGTATGACCTCATCTTAACTAATTACATATATAACAACTCTATTTCCAAATAAGGGTACATTCTAAGATACTGGGAGTTAGGGCTTTAACATATCTTTTGGGGGAACACAATTCAACCCATAACACATAACAAATCTCAAGCAGGATAAAAATGAAGAAACCCATACCTAGACACATTATAGTGCAAATGCAGAATGCTACAGACATAGAGAAGATTTGGGGAGAAATAAAACAACACACGGAGAAAAGATGTGATAAGATGCAAATACCTTAAAGATGCCAGTTCTTTCCAAAATTAAGCTATAAATCAAATGAAATCCCAATCAAAATCTCTACATGATTTTCCAGTGAGGAACATGATCAGCTAATTCTAAAATTTACAGAATAGAACAGTCCAGAGTAGCCAAGGCACTTCTGAAGACAAAGATTAAGGTAGTGAGACTCATTGACAAAGGTATCAAGACTTTATATAAAGCCACACCATTGAAGATGATGGGGTATCGATCGATTCAGCACTAGACAGGAATAGCAACAGAACAGCAGAATACACATTTGATATATGATAAAATAGTGGGAGGAAAATGGACTATTAAATAAATGATACTGGAATAGTCTACCCACATGCACTACAGATAAAATTGCCTCACTATCTCATATCACACATAAAAATTAATCCAGGCAGATTAAAGACCTAAATGTGGAAAACTCTCAGTAGAGAATACAAAAGAATCCATTTGCAACCTAGGAAGTAGGGACTGAGATCTTCAGCAAGTCACAAAATGCCTGAATTATAAAGGAAAAGGTTTGATAGTCATCTATATTACAATTTAAAACCTGTGCTTTCAAAGACACACTAGGAGGGGAAAAAAGCAAGCTACAGACTAGGAGAAAATATTTGCAATGAATGCACAGGATTGGCAAAAGATTTGTATTTATAAAAAACTCCTACCAATCCATAAGAAAAAAAGCACAGTGCTGTCACGGGAAGCTCACTGGGATGTCCAAGAGAGGATTCAACCTAAAGTAACTGTGACCCGGTTTTTGTCTCTGCACAAGAAAGAATTCAAGAGCTAGAAAGATGCAGGAAAGCGAAAGTGGTTTATTGAAAACAAAAGTACACGCTTAAGAGAAAAGTGCAGGCAAACTTTCAGAAGAAGTCACAATCAGGAGCTTTTTTTATCCCTGAGGATGGTGATGACGTCCCATTGTCAAGGTTCATTCATCTCCTCCCCCTGGGTGGGACCCTCTGTTTTCAGGTTTTCTTCCTTATTTGGTTCCTCAGGAACTGTCATGGCATCAGATGTGTGATGGAAGTGTGGTAACCGCAATACAAATGACATTATAATGACATTATTCATAAAATTAGCTAAAGGTTAGGTCCTGGTCATAGGGATTAGCCTTGCTGGATAAAACTGGCTCTTGTTTTAATCCAGCTGCAGCTGTTGGGTACAGTCACTTGTACCCTGGAGGGGGTTGTCAATTTCCTAGGCTACCTATCTTGCCTCAATGCAATGGAAAAATGGATAAAGATATGAACAGGCAATTCACAGAACATAAAAACTGAATAGCCAAAATGACCTAAAAAGAAGCTCAAACTTGGACATGGGAGAATGGGAGAGGGAAGAATTAGGACTTCTAGCGCTCCCCTTATGGCCTACAGTCCCGCCTAAGGGATCAGTACATAACACAGCTGAACCCAAAGCTCACGGCAAAGACCTTGGAGCAAAGACCAAGGGAAGAAGGGTGAAGATGGTGGTTTAAGCCCTCACTAACAAGCAGAGGACAGAAGACATGGGCACAGAGCCTAGCCAACTCCACCCCACCTTCCGAGTGCTAGAAATGGAATGGCAGCAGTGTCACATCAAAAGAACAGAATATTTGCAGTTCTGAGAATTGCGGCCCTGCAGCCACGGACTCTTGGACTCTCGGTCCAACTAGTTCTAGCAAAGGGGAGGAAACCTTGGGTGCAGGATTGGCTGTACTGGTAGTCACCGCCATTGCTCAAAGTCACCTCTCACAACCCACCTTGCCCCTGCCCCCACCTATCTGGGAGGATCCCTGCAGGAGAAACAGAGCCACTAAAACACACAGGCCCTGAAACTGGTGCAGGAAGAGCTTTGGAATTTCAGAAGCTCTCTACATCCTCCCACAGTGGCAGTGCCCTGAGACCTAGGTGACCTGTTCACAGAAAAGCCCACCTTCCAGGGAACCCCTCATATCTGAGAAGCCGGAACAGTGCAGAGAAAATATAACACTACAGTGTGAGAGAGAATAAAAGGCTGCGGCAGAAAAGAAAAGAAAACATTCCCCCAACACTTACTGGAAATCCAAAGAAAGACCCCTTCCTATCAACCTGTTGCAGAACCCACTCCTGTAGATGCCTAGGAAAAGAAATAATAATTCATTAATTGCCATGAATAAACAAGGTAATAAGGCAGCTCAGAAAGAAAATGAAAAGTCTCCAGAAAATGAACTTAAAGACATGGAAATATGTGATTTAAATGACAGAGAATTCAAGATTGCAGTTCTGAAAAGACTCAATGAGATGCAAGAAAACACAGACAGGCAGTTTAATGAACTCAGAAACATAATCAAAGAACAAAATGAACATTTTACCAAAAGATTGAAATTTTAAAAAAGAACCAAATAGAATTTCTGGAAACTAAGAACTCAATAAAAGAAATGAAGAATGAAATAGCCAGCTTAGGCAACAGAGCTGACCAGGTGGAGGAAAGTATCGGTGACATTGAAGATAGAAA